GGGGGATACTGGGGGGATGCCGGGGACGGGCATCCCCTGGGAAGAGGGATACTAGGCTCTGGGATCCCCTGGGATGGGAGGAGGTTGCTGCGCAGCCACGCCCTGCATCCTTGGGGATGATCGCTGGTGCCAGGTCTTCGTTAGGGAGCCTAACGAAGGGGATGCTCATTATGGCGGCGGGGGGAGAGGCGGCTCCGTGGCCGTTTCACGGCAGCACCCGCGTCCTTCCGCCGGCAGAGCCCCCGGCTCCCAACAGCAGCGCGGAGGAGGACGGGATTAACCTGGAGGAGATCCGGGAATTCGCCAAGAACTTCAAGATCCGCCGCTTGTCGCTCGGCCTGACGCAGACGCAGGTGGGACAGGCCCTGACGGCCACCGAGGGACCTGCCTACAGCCAGTCGGCCATCTGCAGGTACCGGGGGGCCGGGGGCTGCGTCCTCGGGGTCACTGCGGAGCCCTGCTCCGGAAAGGGAGAAGGAGGAAAATTAGGGAATAGGAGGAAAATTGGAGAAAAGGAGGAAAAGTAGAGAAAAGGAGGAAAATGGGGGGGAAGGAGGGAAATTGGAGAAAGGAGGGAAATTGGAGAAAAATAGGAAAGTTGGAGAAAGAGAGGAAAGTTGGGAGGGAAATTGGAGAAAAGGAGGAAAAGTAGAGAAAGGGAGGGAAATTGGAGAAAAGGAGGGAAATTGGAGAAAAGGAGGGAAATTAGGGAAGAGGAGGAAAGTTGGAGCAAAGAAAAATTGGAGAAAAGCAGGGAAAACGGATAAAAGGAGGAAAAACAGATAAGAGGAAAAACTGATAAAAGGAGGAAAATAAGAGAAAGGGAGGAAAATAAGAGAAAGAGAGGAAAATTAGAGAAGGAGAGGAAAGTTGGGGAAAAGAAGGAAAACTGAGGGAAAGAAGGAAAATTAGAGAAAAGGAGGGAAGTGGGGAAAAAAGGAGGAACATCCAAGAAAGGGAGGAAAACGAGAGAAAAGAGGGGAAATCAGAGAAAAGGAGGAAAATTGGAGCAATGGAAAATTAGGGAAAGGGAGGAAAATTGGAGAAGAGGAAGGAAAATGGAGAAAGGGAGGAATATTGGAGAAAAAGGAGGAAAATTAGGGAAAGGGAGGAAAATGGGAGAAAAGGAGGAAAATGGGAGAAAAGGAGGGCGGGTGGGATCGCTGCCCACGAAGCTCCTCACCGCAGCGTCACTCCCCGCCGTGGTCTCTCCCGCTGAAGCCCCCAACCCTGTCACGGTGTGTCCCCCCGGTGTCCCCCCGTCCTCGCCGCGTCCCTGAGGGCTTCTCCTGCCCACTGCAGGTTCGAGAAGCTGGACATCACCCCCAAGAGCGCCCAGAAGCTGAAACCGGTGCTGGAAAAGTGGTTGAGCGAAGCCGAGCTCCGTAACCAAGAGGGGCAACAAAACCTGATGGAGTTCGTGGGGGGGGAACCCTCCAAAAAACGGAAGCGCCGAACCTCCTTCACCCCCCAGGCCATCGAGGCTCTCAACGCCTACTTCGAGAAGAACGCCTTGCCCACCGGCCAGGAGATCACCGAGATCGCCAAGGAGCTCAACTACGACCGCGAAGTCGTCCGCGTCTGGTTCTGCAACCGCCGGCAGACCCTCAAGAACACCAGTA